CATGTTAGAACCCCTCTGTCCATCCCTCCAACCCTCAACCCCTGGGCCCACGGTCCTCGGAGCATCTTGGAGGTGAAGACAGAGGGACTAGAGTCTGGAAACACCTAGAAACAAGATGGGCTTTACCTTGTGACTGTAAATGAGCACTTATGCCTAGAGGTCTGAGCTCAAGGCAGGGGTAGCTTGGGGGGCTCTCCCTGTTGCCCGGAAGGGGAGGGGAGGACTAGAGAAGAGGGGATTCCAGCAGTTTCCTCTGGTATCAGGAGTCTCATATGTTAATTCATTTTTATTCGCAACCTTGAGCGGGATGGAGAGGGTGGAGGTGCCACTCATGGCTTGCAAAACCCACAGGTACTGCAGAGGCTGAGGGAGGGGAGGAGGTGGGAGAGAGGCTTCCAGGGCAAGGACCCCAGGCAGGCTGCTCATACCCTCCGGGCTTATCACAGGGGCATCTGTGAGGTGCAGATAACGAAGCCCACTTCGAAGCCAGTATTGTAATTTATGCAATTGGCTTATCTCTCTGTGACCAGAGAGATAAGCCTCTTCCTTGAGGAGAGAGCACTGTTTACTTATTTCTAAATCTTTAGTGTTTCACAGACTTGCTTGGGCCAAGGAGATTTTTAATAACTGTCTGTTAAAGAAAAAAAATATATATATATGTGTGTGTGTGTGTGTGTGTATTTTAAAGATTGTATTTATTTATTCCTCAGAGATACAGAAAGAGAAGCAGAGACACAGGCAGAGGGAGAAGCAGACTCCCTACGGGGGAGCCCAATGTGGGACTCCATCCCAGGACCCCAGGATCACGACCTGAGCCAAAGGCAGACACTCAACTGCTGAGCCACCCAGGTAGCCCCCCCCCATATTTTTTTTTTTTTAATTTAGGTAGTTTGTTAAGCTTACAACACTTTGTGTAACAGAGATATATTAGGATAGGGACAGGGCGATTCTCAAACTCTGATGGCAGTTTGGGAGGACGGGTGGCTCCCCACGGACAGAGGAGTTTTTCTCATTCCTGTGTCCCCACACAACCCTGCCTCCTCTAGCAAGAAACTTTTGGCCTCTGGTACCGAACTCGACCGAACTCGCGGTGCAAACAGAGGGGTGAGCGGTGCCTACCTGCTGCCATCCTGGGAACAGCACTAATGCTTCTTTCTATGTGGCCGATACATTCTGAGTGCTTTCCATGTGTCAGCCATTAATCCCCACGTCAGTCCGACGATCACCCTATTTTACAGATGGGGAAACTGAGGCCCAGAGCAGCCATGTGATGTGGTCCCAACAACCAGGAAGTTGGGGAGCAGGATTCAAGTGGAGGCAGCCAGGCATGAGAGCTCCACTCTTGACCTCTGCACTGCACTGCTCTGTTGCTCATCAATGCCAACCTTCTGCATGGTCTCATATGGTGGAGCTGGCCAGTCAATTCCATCACCAAGTGGAACTGTTGGTCAGAGGTGCAATCGTGGGGGGGCTGAGGATAACCTCTCAAAGCATGTGCCCGAGGCAGGAAACAGTACTGGCCCCTAACCCCCTGGGCCCATCCCCTCTTCCCCAAGGCAGCACTCCCACTGTCATTAGCTCCAGCTCCTGGCATCCCAGGTTTGTTCACTACCCAAACCCCAGAGTCAGTCCAACTGGGAGGGTGGCCTGGCCCCCTGGAATCCATGCAGAAGGGGGTTTGCAAACCAGAATCACGGTGCACCACATTTTTCTCAGCTACTCCAAGCAAGGCTTTTCACCCATGGGCTGTGCCTTGCTGCCCTGCTTGGCAAAGTAGAGACCCAGGGAACAGGGCCAGGCCGGGCAGAGACCTGGCTGACCCCGAGGTGGTGCCTTCCCCTGCAACTGGTAAGACTTATCAGAGGCGGTGCACACACCCTGGGGTTCCCAACAGGTGCTCCCTCAGCCTCTGCTTCAGTACTTCTAGGGACAGAGCACTCACTACCTCCGAAGGAAGCCGACCCACATTGAGTGACACTTTGACCCAATGCTTTTCTTGTAAACTTTCTTCCATGATTACTTCCCCAGCTGCATTTAAATCTCCATGGAGACAAAACCTGGAGTTGAGGTCATCTTCTAAATAGAATGTGCTTAATACCTCCTTACTAATGACTGAGATCTTATCAAGGGTGAGGAAAGCAAGAAAAGAAAAAAGTGTCCAGTTTTAATGCCAGGACTGGGACCCCCTGGGGGAGGGAGCTGGAATTCCTGCTGTGGGAGAAGGGGGTGGGCATGTGCAATGCGTCTACACCACCGTTTACTGAGCACTTGGTGCCCAACCCCAGGCTGGCATGCTCTCATGAATCCTAGAAATCCTGCGAAAAAGGGTGTTGCTGCTATCTGTTTTACAGAGAAGGAAACCGAGGCACAGTGAGGTTAAATAACATGCCCAGGTGACCCAGCAAGCAAGCAGCAGAGATGGGATCTGAATCCAGGTCCGTGTATTTTGGAGCCCTGGATGTGCGAGGCTCCTTCCCAGGAACCCAGGACCCAGCTGACCTCCCCTCCATGGAAAACATAGGTGGCATAAGAAAAGGTTTTGTCGTCTCTGAAATGTAAAACACACAAAACAAAAAAAGAACTTGGTAAATTTTAGAAGAATGACTGAAAGACAACTTCCCTTCCCCCAAGTAACTTAGATCTCACAAAAGGAAGCCAAGACCACATCCTAACCGACTCTGAGACTCTGAGACTCTGAGCTCCCCCAAGTAGGGTCTAAGCCAGGGTCAAGTTTGTATCTCGAGTACTGGAAACAGAGCCTGGCCCAGAGTCAGAAACCTTCAGATGAATAATGAATGAGGGAGGGAGGAGTCAGGAAGATAAGGACCTGGGCTGGAAGCTCCAAGCCTCGAGGAGCACTGACTGCACCCAGGAGGGCTGAGCCCCAGGAGGGCCACGCACACTCTGGCTGAACCCTGCCTGCCCGCGGAGGAGACGGAGGAGGGCAGGGCAGAAAGAGAGGGCGGTGGAGGGAAAGGGGAGAGAGAGAGGTACCCAGACGGAGGGAGGAGGGAGAGGAGAAAATGCTGATGGGCAGGGAAGGCAGAGGTGACGCCACCTGCCACGGGAGCTGCCCTGGGCCCTGTCCCTCTGTCTGAGGAGGGCGGTAGGCTCACCGGAGCCGAGCTCTGACCTGGGAAAGGACACCAGCAGGGCGCTGGAGCAGGAAGCGGCCCGGGGTCCTATGCTGCCCTTCCAGTTGGCAGATGGTGGGACCCCCAGAGGGTCCAGAGGAGGAGCTGGGTGATGGCAGGGGTCTTGTGGGGGTGGAGGGACAGTGACTGTTGGCTAACCCTCTGGTGCCTGTGGCCCCCGATGCTTGTAGATGACTGGAGGGCGAGGGTGCTGCTCCCAGTCCCCAAGATCCCAGAAGTGGATCCTCGGCGTAGACAAGAGAGGCAAAGCCCGGGTGCCGGCCGCCCACATCTACCCAAGAGGCAGGCAGTGTAGCACAGAGCATGGCACTGCCCAGGGGGGCAGACCTGGGTTCAAATACGGACCAGCTGCTTATTCTCCGCGAGGCCAGGCTCATCCCAAAGCCTCAGCCACCTTCTCCAGGAGATATGATGGCAGCCCCACCTCACTGCACTCCGCAGGAGACAGGCCCCTCCCCCCACTCTTTGCTCTGTGCTTCCTCCCCACACCTGGGGAGGGGTCCTTCCCCTCTGGGTCTCACAGCACCCTCCTCACAGGGCTGATGTCCCCTACTGGCCTCTCTGAGCCTTGAGAAACACAGATCAGTGACTTCCCATCTCCCAATGAAACCCAGAGTTTCTCCCCTTCATGCCCCACAACACCCCATCATTTGTGGTTCACACCCCTGACTATACATAGGGTCATCTGGGGAGCTTTTCAAAACTACAAATGCCCGGCCCCACCACCAGGCCCCACCACCAGAACGAAGATCTGAGCCCATGGATCTGAGCTGGAGCCGGGCATCGGCACTTCCTACAAGGTGCTCCTCGGTGACCTCGCCAGCCTGCCCCGCCGCGGTGCCCCAGCCTGCCTCCTCCTTGCTCATCCTCACATACACGTCCTTCAGGGCCTTTGCTGGAATGCTCTGTCCTTGGAGTCCACATGGCTCCCCCTCACAAGTCACTGAACCCCCTAATCTTATCAGCGAGCCCCCACCCCATGCTATCCCATCCCCCCCGACTCTGCTTGATTTGCTTTATCACACTTCTGACCCCTTGACGTGCCATGTATTTATTCAGGTGACATTCTTCTAAGTTCTATGACAGCAGGGCCGTGCTGGTTTTTTCACTGCCCCATCATCGGGGCCCAGCACACAATGGGTGCTTGACAAAAATCTGTGTAAAGAAAGGCCCTCTCTGCAGCAGGCCCGAGCCCCTGAAAGATGAAAGTGGACTCATGCATCGGGGTGTGCCAGAGCCCTGCACAGGGCCAGTCTGTGGCCAATTCACAGTGCCGATGATTTGTTCTGGAGACAGAAAGGCTGGTGGTGGTGCTGTGGAGCATCAAGACCCGAAGGAGGAGCCAGAGCAGATAGAAGTGGAAAGCTGGGTGGCAAGGGGCTGAGCTGCTTCAAGGAAGAAAACCGAGAGATCTGGCCACAGTGTGTACCGCGTAGCTGGGCAGGTGGCCCGGCAGGGCGCAGGCAGTGGTGGCCTGTGGGATGTCTCTGCTGAAAGGTTGTGAGCGCTAACTACATCCAAGGCCTGTTGTGAGCAGGTCCAGCGGGCGCCCCAGGCCTTCTAGGGCAGCTGCAAAGCCTTGATGCATCCACAAAGACCTCCAACATCTGACATCTGGCCACCCAGTGAGCCTCCAGGACAGAGGGGCTGCCCTGTCCTTAAGGGGCAGGCACCTCTGCGAACTGGCGGCTGCCACTGCCTAGGACACAGTGGTCCCTCCCAGTGCTCCTGCAAAGCAGCCTCTGCCCAGGCTTCTTCCTCGTGTTGGTTTCCCTGGCTCTTAGGGCCAGCCCCCACCCCCGCTTTGCACACCCCCTTGTCTCTGCTCTTACCCCCCTGGAAGACCAGTGCCTGGCACATCGGACAGACCTGGGATTCTTATTTGCTTTAGGACCCCGGGGAAGTCATTCAAGCTCAGTGTCCTCACCTGCAAAGTGGGCTGTTGTGAGGGGTCAATGAGATGCTTCCCCCGCACTATGCTGGCCACGTGGTAGGGAAGCCTCATAAACAGCAAATCTGTCCTAGCTCCTTCTAAACCCTGCCTAAAAGGCCCGACTCCGATGCCCACCACTGCATTTCCCATCAAGCACTACCTGTCTCACAGGTGGTTGAGCCGAGAACCAAGCCCTGGTCCGCCCTTTACTTTCATGAGCTTGGAAGGCATCACCCAACCTCAGCATTAGCTTCCTTCTCTGAAAGCAGCCAACCTAAGGATGTCTTCAAATTGGAAAGTTCTTACGGCCAGCCGGGAAGCTGCTGGACAGGTAGGGTCAGGAAGTACGTAAGGTTTCGGGCCTGGCATTCTCACAGGGCTCTTGGGAAAACAAACCTGGACGCTGAATTGGAAAGCAGAGCACGATGCGGAGAGCTGTGGAAGCGAGTAAGGAGGCTGCGTGGCCCCAAGGTAAGAGGAGGCCTGGGCCACAGGAGGTGGAGTCAAGGTTTAGAAATGGCTTCTGGGCTGGATCACAGTGTGATCACGTGCACCCTGGTTCCATGACCTGGCCGTGGCCATCTCTCATGCCAGCCCTCTCCTACACCTACACCCCTCCTCCCTCCTTCCCAAGAAGTCAGGGAGCCTTTGGTTATGGGAGCAAGTGGGGCAGTTACATCAGCCAGCACCCCAGACTCCGCCCGGGACGCCCTCTGTGCTCTCCCGGCTGGCTCCACCCCTCAGGCCCCATCCTGGGTGAAGGCCCCCTTCACACCTCCCCACAACACCCAGGGTTGACTTCTGGCTCTGGAGGCAGCGGCATCCAGAAAACAGCAGGAAGGGTGCAGGGCGCCCCTCCCGTGCCCAGGCCACCCTGGGCATTCAGAGATACACACAAAGCAAACTCTGGCCTCTTTCTACATATATGTACACACCGACAGGCAGCCCCAGCTGCACTCATGAGGCCTGGGGAAGGGCCTTCCGTCCTCCATCTTCGGCCTCAATCTGTCAAAACCAGCTTTTCTGTACAGACTGCTCACTCTTTTCTGTACATGAATTAAATATATTATCTGTCTTTGTGCTGAGTCACGGGATATTCACAGTACAGTGGGGGAAGAGGGGAGGGACTTGGGGGAGACCAAGAGTCCCCAGGGCTGCTCCTGGGGCTGAGGGGTCGGGCTGGGCAGGGGGCTTGTGTAGAAAAGCCGGGCCTGGCCTCCCCTTGGCCTTGTCATTGGAGATTCAGCCAAGTGTTGAGCAGACCTTGGGAATATAACAGGCGTGCTTGGCAGGGGTGGTGAGGGGTGACTTCTTTGGGGCTGCGGCCCTCCTATTCCCAGCCCCCTAGGGCAGGGTTCTCAGGATCAAAGCCTGTGCCTCCTATCCCACCTTCCTCTACCTCAGCCTGTGACATTTACACCCTGCCCTCTGGGGAGGCCAGGGGCACAGGGAGGCTGGTGCCAGGACTGGGTGGAGCATGGACTGGGCCATAGTGGCTGAGAAAGAGGGAGGGGGGAGGCTGTGCTAGCCCCAAGGAGCCAAGGCTGGCCTGGCACCAGTTTCAGGGTGACCCTGCATATCTGGGCATTGTCCCCAGGACCCTAGTCCAGGGCTGGCTTATCAGTGTCCGGGCAGGATAAGCAAGGGCCACTCTTGGGAAAGGGTGGACAGGTAGGAGCTTGGGTCAGAGCTCCAAGGGCAGTGAGTGATCTACCACCTGTCAATTTAAGGCAATCCCGTTCACGCTGGGGAGATGGGCAGGAGCCAGCTGAGGTGGCAGGAGTGCAGCGGGTGGTACCAAGCCACCTCTGGACTCAGTGGGGTACCCAGCAGCATACGGGGCTTCTGGCCAAGAGTGGGGAACGGGGACAGGATGAGGAAGTGGCAAAAAAGGGATAGGCTCCTACTCTGTTGCTCTGGGGACACCCTCCCTTTGGGTGGGGCGGTGGGCTTTGGCACACACACTGGCACCCAGGATTCCGGGGTCCTGGACAAGGTGCCATGTCACTTCCTGCTCTCAGAGGGGAAGAAAGTGAGTGATGTGTGGGCAGCCAGCTCCTGGGTGGGGAGGCATGGTGGTGCCCATGATCAGGGCTCAGTGCTCAGCCTGGCACCTGGATTCTCCCGTCTGTGTGGCTCCCACGCTGCTGCCCGAGCACCTCAGGGTGGGAAAGGGTCTGAGGTCCCTCCCTGCCCCCTTCTCTCCTCCTGGGAAAGCAGCTCATGCCCAGTGCCAGGGCAGGTGACAGAGGGGTTAATGTCTGGGTGAAGGCTGCAGGGGAGGCATGTGGGAAGTGGAAGAGAAACAGCCGTGGCCAGCAGAGCTGCCAAAAGGTCTTCTGGGCCAGCCACCAGCCCTGGCTCCTCTGTCCGCCCAGAGCCACGCTGACCCCATCCTGCCTGCGGTCGTGCTTGCTGTGACCTCTCGTCCCTGGGGCCGCAGCAGGGTGGGCACGGCTCAGAAGATGCTCTGCCTCCGGCTCTTCCCTCGTCCTGGAGAACAGAGGGGTGGGGGTGGGGGTGTGCTGCAGAGAGGAGGCTGGGCAGGTAGTGCCCCCGGGAGCCAGGAGGGAAGGGCTTTTTCCAGTGCTATTCTGATAGGGCCAGTGAAAGTATGCTCTCGGAAGCCAGTCGGTCCTGGGTTCAAATCCCATCTTTGTTACTTACCAGCTGTGTGAAATTGTGACCTAACCTCCCCTGTACCTCGATTCACTGATTATGAAATGGGGAGCATTAATAGTACCTATTCAGGGCACCTGGCTGGCTCAATCAGGAGAGCCTGTGATGCTTGATCTTGGGGTCATGAGTTTGAGCCCCACACTGGGTGCAGACATTACTTAAATACACACACACACACACACACAAAGTACCAACTTCAAGGGTACTTTATATGAAATAAAGCACTTGCCACATCTGAGGCCATCAGCTGTTCTAGAGACAAGGTATGGTTCTCCCAGGATGGATGTGAGAGAATTCAGAGTTTGCAGAGAGAATGTACGAGAGCATGCACCTTCACCAGGGCTTTGTCAGGGTGGGGGCTGACGAGGGACACACTGGAGGAGGAAGCCTGGGTAGGAGATAGGGAAACCAGCCCCTTCCCTGCGCCCCATGGGAGGCCAATGTCGGGGAGGCCCTGCTGATTCCCCACTGCAGGAGGGGCCGCGGGGCCCCACCTCTGTCTTAATGGGGGAGGAGCAGCCTGCGGGGGTGGGGGGGTGGGAGGGAGAGGCACGAGCCCCTACCTGGCTGCTGGAAGGCCAGGCCCCGGTAGCCCGGGTCCTTCTGGAGCTGGATCTCCTTCAGGGAGAAGATGGATGCCGCTGTGGTGAGAGAGGAGACAGGCAGGTAGAGAGCCAGGTGGGTGCCCCCATACCCACAGAGCACCCCACCTGGCTGGGCAACCCCCTTCATTCAGGACTGGCCCCGGAGCACCTAACTGGGCTTTCGGGAGGCTTCTTAGATCTTACAAGTTTTGCCCATAGTTGCAGACGGGAACACACGGAGGCAAGTCCTGTGCCCAAGGCTGCTCAGCCGGACCAGGGCCACTGGCCTCTTTGTTCCCGCTCTTCCACCCGCACCCGCTGCCCCTTTCTTTGGTTCTGGGGTGACCCTGGCCCCTCCCCCAACCTCCAGCAGACACTCACTATCTTCAAGCTGGTGCACACGTTCTCCCAGAGACCGGAAGTAGGGGTGACTCAGGGCCGCCTCAGCTGACATGCGACTCTTGGATTCGTACTGAAAGGCACAGGGTGGGCTATAGGGCCCTGGCTGGGGGACCCTGGGGACCCCTCTGCGCAGTGCAACTCCCACACGAAGTTAGATGGCCAGAATGAGAGGGGCCTAGGTGTAACCCAGGAGCCCCCAGAGTCTGCTGCCAGCTTCCACCTCCAAGCCAGCCCGAGGCCGTCTCCCCGCTCAGCTCCCAGGCCTCCAGCCACCCAGAGAAAACCAGAAATGGGACTTACAGAGAGTGACCTCCTTTTGGGATGGAAATAGAGAGGCTAAAGCCACCATGATCATAACGTTAATGACAGCAATATTAACGTGTAACGCCGACCACTACCCTTTACGGTGCGCACACTTCAAGACAGGCACCATACCCGGTGCCACGATCTCAATGTGTCCTCATGACCGTCTTATGAAACAAGAGTCATTAATTCTTCTTTGCAACCGAGGAAACAGGAGCCCAGAAAAGTTCTAGAACTTGCCCAAGGCCACACAGCTCACACGTGGGTTTGAGCTGGGAATTGGGTTCAGGGTGTGTCCGCTGACACACTCTGGGTGCAAACCAGTGCTCCTCCTGGGTCTGGGGGTGGGGTGGCAGGGTGGGACACGGGGAGAGGGGGAGCGGGGAGCACAGAGGCAGGCGGGTGGAGGGCCCAGGCGGGGTCTCAGGCTTCAGCGCGACTGGGAGGCCGCTGGTCCCCGGGGTGGGGGGGCCCAGCACACTCACCAGGAGGAGGCTGCTCAGGAGGTGGAGGCCGTCAGTGTCCAACCTGCAGGAGGAAGGAGCTGGCACAGGCCTGGCCTGGCTGGGGGGCTCGGGGAGGGCGTGTGCGGGTCACCTCCAGCAGGGCCGGCCAGGGCGCGGGGGAGGCAGCGCTACCTGGGAGCGTGGCTGATGAGCGGCTGCGGCAGGTACCGCGGGAAGCTGTAGGCTCTGAACTCAGACAGGGCCGTCACGCCGGGCCACGTCTCTTCCGTAGGGGTCCCTGGGGAGAGGAGAGGGTGTGGGAAGGGCAGAGTGAGGAGCCGGCGGGAGGCTCGGGGGTGCAATGAGGCGGCCGGGGCGAGGCGTGGTGCAGGCCGCAGGGATGCCGCGGCGCCGCGGCGCAGAGGGGAGCCCCTCTTCCCCGTCCGGCCCGTTAGGCGCCTGGGCTGGACGGAGTTCTGGTGCCCCTGGTGGCGAGAGGGAGGGAGCGGCCGGAGACTGACCGAGGAGTCGAAAGATGAGGTGCAGCTCCTCCTTGACCGTGGAGCCGGGGAAGAGGGGCCTCCCCGTGGCCATCTCGTAGTGGATGCAGCCCACGCCCCTGCGGGGAGCAATGGGCAGGGGCGGCGTCAGGCTGGGCCTCCCCGCACCCGCCCTTCCTAGGGCGCTCTACCTCTACCGGGGTGCCCAGGATGCCCTGCCTTGGCGGCTCCAGGGGTCCCGGCTCTGGGGTGGGCGGCCCAGTGGGCCACAGGGCCTCTCTCTCTGGGGCTTTCTCTGGGCTCCTCCTCACCCCGTGGAGTTTGGGTCTGCACCAGGTGCAGGGCTGTCTCAAACTCTGTCCCTCTGTGCCCCCTACTGGAAGACGAAGTCCAGAAATCCACGGCCTTGGGGACCCCCCGGCACAGAACACAGTGGCCATTCACTGGAAACCTGTGCTTTAGCTTTAAAATTGGGCCGGTTTGTCGTCGTTTTTGTTCTATACCAGATCATATGCACGTCAATTTTAACACAAATACAATGTACCCTTTCCAAAATTCTCCGTAGCACTGATGCTTCGTCGTATTTACCGTGGAAGCCCTCCTGGACCCTCCCGTAACCTACTGGGGAGCCCTGGGGGGATATTTCATAAGCAGAGCCTCGGGGGGTCTGTTTAGAGCCAGGGGAACCCTAACGTAGTTCACACTTAATTCTTTCACATCCGGTTCCTGCAGCAGGATGTCACGCGGCTTCTAGTCAAAGGAGGTTAGGCCGTTCCTTGCAGAGGGCCTCGAGGCAGCAAAAAGGAATGTGAAGGTATGGAATCCCCCTCACCTTGGTCCCATGGTGCTCACTCACCACATGTCAATGGGGGTGGAGTACTCCGTGGACCCCAACAGCACATCCGGGGGCCTGTACCACAGGGTCACCACCTCATTGGAGTAGGTCTTCGTGGGCACTGACTTGGCCCGGGCCAGTCCTGGGGACAGACATGCCACTGAACCTCCCATGTCCCTCTCACAGCACCCATATCCTGAGGAGGCTGTGCCAGATGCCGCACCCCCACCCCAGCCCTGGTGGGCTCTGGCTCTCACCAAAGTCAGCCAGCTTCAGCTCCCCCCTCTCACTAATGAGCAGGTTCTGTGGTTTCAGATCTCGGTGCAGGATCTTGCGGCGGTGGCAGTAGGCAAGGCCCCGGAGCAGCTGGAACATGAAAATCTGAGGGAGGAGGGGATGAGAAAGGTGAGCAGAAGGTGAGTTTGTCCCACCTGGGAGACCCTCTGTCTGCCCATGGCTTGGAGGGGTGGTGGGGTACCTGGAGAGCTACCTTGGTTCTCCACCCACGCTGTGCCCCATCCTCGATGGGCTCCAACCATCCCAGGGAATCCCATTCACTGGAGAGGGCACCGGGTGGGTGGTAGAGGAGAGCTCTCCAGCTCGGGAGCTGAGGGGGCGGCCAGGAAGGGCCAGGAAGCCCCGCTGTGTGTGGAGCTATGCACTTGGTTCTTTTTTTTTTTTAAGACTTTATATAAATTCATGAGAGACACAGAGAGAGAGGCAGAGACACAGGCAGAGGGAGAAGCAGGCTCCATGCAGGGAGCCTGATGTGGGACTCGGTCCCAGGACCCTGGGGTCACGACCTGAGCCGAAGGCAGATGCTTAACCACTGAGCCACCCAGGTGCCCCTGCACTCGGTTCTTTAACAATGACCAGAAGAGGTCATTCGTCCCTTCGAGCTTCTCCAGAAGCCTCCTGTCATCCTTGTGCCCATTTGACAGATGGGAAAACTGATGCTCAGAGTTGGAGAGGGGATTCTCTTTTTTGAGGGGATTTTATATCAACAGCTAGGTGGTGAAAGAGAGTGTGTGTCTGCATTGATAGGGTAGGGTGCTTAACACAGCTCCCGGTAGTCCCTGAATGGCAGTGACCTTGCACGCCCTCATACACATGAAGGTCTGAGTAGCCTCAGCAGCTGGGACCCTGGTGGTGAGAGTGGGTTCCCATGCTGAGCTTGAGAACAGATGGGTACTGAGATGGGGCGCCTGAGGGTAGGTGGCCCTTACGGAGACCCTCACCTTGACATTGTGCATGCTCATGAGGTTTCCGCAGTGGTCCAGATACTGCTTCAGGTCACTATCCTGGAACACAGAGCCTGGCTCAGCCCTAACCTGTCCTGACCCCTGGCCGGAAGCCCCTCCCTGGGCAGGGCCCAAGCTCTGAGCTGTCCTTAAACCTCCCTGGCCCACTCTTCCATGGGAGCATCTGAGAACCTGATTCTAGAACAAGGCCTGGGCGGCCCCCACCCTTTTCCCCCACCCCCACCACAGAGGGGAGAAGCCGCTAGTCCCAGCCCAACTCACCAGGTACTCAAACACCAGGGTAAGAGACCGTTCCGTATGGATGAGGTCATGCAGAGTCACAATATTGGCGTGCTTTAGGTTCTTCAGTAGAGACACTGTGGGGTGACAGGCCCACCTGGGTCCCTGGGGCCCCACATACCCCTCACACACTCTCCTCCTGGGAGCAGTCCTAGGAGCCCTCACGCCAGCAATGACCCTCAGCCCCCCAGGCTCCCACTGGGGCTCTGATTAATGAAGCCCTCCTCCCAGGAGCCCCCAGGGGTGCAGGACCCTGGGATGCTATACCCTCTCGGATGGCAGTGCAAGGCGCCCCCTCCTCATGCTCCAGCCGGATCTCCTTCAGGGCCACCAGGTTCTCCGTCAGTTTGCTGCGCCCTTTGAAGACTGTGGCATAGGTACCCTGGGGACAAGAACCCCAGCAGCACCAGCCACACTCAGGGCCCACGCTCCTCTAACCAGTGCCCTCCTCTTGGGCCTCTGCTTGGGCTGTATCCTTCCCCCTTCTTCTCCTTTCACTGAGATTCTGGCTTTGCTCCAAGGCCCATCTGTGACTCTGTCCCTCACTCCTCCCAGTTCAGAATGAACTGTCCTTCCCATGAGCCCCCAGCAGGCTAGGTGCCCTTCTATTGTAACACTCATTGTGTTTCTGCCTATGTTGGTGTTTACAGGTAGGTCTCCTTCCTGGCCTCCTAGAGGGAGAGGGCTGTGTCTTCCTCCTGTCTATAAACCTTTGCCCACCCCAAGGCCCCAACACAGAAGCAGGGTGCAGTGGTAAGAGAAACCGCTAATGGCACACAGTGTTTAATACCATGTGCCAGGCACTGCCTAAATGTATAAATGTTATTATAGTCACCTATTCTGATCTCATGACAACTCCAGAGAGCAGAGCAATTACATCTCCATTTGACAGAGGAAGAAACTAAGGCACAGAGAGGTCACCTAACTTGCCCAAGGCCACAGAGCTAGTAAATGGTGAAGTAGGGATTTGAATCCAGAGAAATACTTGCAGAAAAAGAAAAAGAAAAAAAAAAAAGACTGGATTATGCCCCAGAGCCCACGGGCCCCATTCCATCCTCATGTCCTCCTTCTTGAGGACTTGGGACCCCTCAACACTTGCAAAAGGCTGGGCCAGATTGGACTGCCAAGATGGTATGCCTATACGGGGCGGGGGCGATGAGAAGACAGGACAGGGTGTGCAGGGGGAGAGCCTGTCCCTGCTCCTAACTGGCCTGTCCAGTCTCTTACCTCCCCCAGTTTGTCCAGCTTCACGTATGTTTCCAGTTTCCCAAAGCCAATATCTGACTGAGAGGGAAAGACATAGGGTCCTATGAGCTGGAAGGCTCCAGTAACCCCACATACATGATACCTCCCAGTCAGCTTCCAGAAGGGAAGGGAATGAGACCCCCTGTCAGGGGGAGGGAACAACAGAGGCTAGCAGGGATGAGGGCAGCCACAAATCCTAACCCCGTGATAAAAGTGGTCCCTGAGCCTTAACAATACAGATTCCTGGGACCCACCACCTGGACTCTGATTCTGTAGGTATCTGGAGTGGGAGCCAGAGTCCATGTTTGCAAGATGCTCCCAAGGAGACATTATAAGCAGCCATGACCGGAAAGCACATGCCAGCTGCTCTATGGGTCTCACCATGGTGGGGCTCCAGCCCTGGGGGGGGGGCTCACCCAGGGAAGGGACGTTGACCAAGGAGCACAAGCGTGTGCATCAGCTGAGGCCAGCAGGTGGCACCAGAGGCCCACAAACTGCTGCAGGCCTCAGCTGGACCAGGCAAAACTGAGGTGTCCATGCTGGGGAGAGAGGGTGGTCCACCCTGGTGACCTCTGACCCTCCTGGGACTCACCAGGGATGCTCGGCGGGACATGCGGCTCAGTGGTTTGGGCAGGTCTGGACTCTCCAGCTGTAGCTTCTGCAGGAATTCCTGGGGTAGGCGGATGTCCATGGGCAGAGACAGCCTCTTACTGATGTCCTATATTAGCCGGGATGAGACGGGGACACCAGTGTCTGCTCCAGGTTACCTGGTGCTGTAGGACCCTTCCTTTTCACCCTGGGGCTGGCTTTCCCTATAGAAGCAACCCTAGCAGGGCCAGACCACGGGCTGTGACCCTAGGCTCACAGCTGCTTCAAAGACATGCTGAGACATCTGTGAACACCCGGGAGTTGCTGTGTGACCTTAGGAGGTCCCCTCCCCTCTCTGGGCTGCAGTATAACCCTCTATAGAATGAGATTCCTACGGACATGAGCCTATTTTTCTTACACATGGGCACATGCCTACGAGCCATAAGAACAGTGGTCAAGGGCAGCCCGGGTGGCTCAGCGGTTTAGCGCCGCCTTCAGCCCAGGGTGTGATCCTGAGGACCCAGGATCGAGTCCCACGTCGGGCTCCCTGCGTGGAGCCTGCTTCTCCCTCTGCCTGTGTCTCTGTGTGTGTGTCTTTCATGATTAAATAAATAAAATCTTAAAAAAAAAAAAAAAGAAGAGCGGTCAAATTGTCCAGCCCTCGCTATGTACCAGGACTGCTCTATGCGCTTGGGGTATATTAGCTTGTTTAATCTTCATGATGACCATTTTAACACAACGAGACTGGTATGCGGAGGTTGAGAAACTCGCTCAAGGTCACAGAGCTGATCAACAGCAGAGCTGGGATTTGAACCCACGAAGTTGGCTCGCAGGCCACCGCCCTCCTTGGGCACGCGTGGCTGGCGAGTCCTGCTGCACCCACAGGGGAGAGCCCAGAGCCCCTCACCTCCATGGAGAAGCGGCGCTGGTTCTGCCGCCGGTACCGCATGCCGGGGGACGGCTGCCCAGGGTCCTCCCCGCTGTCTGTCGGGGAGAAGGTGCCGGTCTCTGGCTGGGGGTCTCTGCTGAGAGGCCCGAGCTGCAGATCTGAGAGGGACAGGTGTCAGCTGCCCACCCAGCCCCTCTGTCCCCGGCGGGGAAGGGAAGGGGCAGGGACCTGTGCAGGGCAGGGGGGGCCTAGAGGGGCAGGGGGCGGCCAAAGGGGTGCGGGGGGCAGCCGGAACCCTCACCCTCATTGCGTCGATTGTGTAGCTGGTTGAACTGCTCTGTGAACTCAGTCAAGGACTCTTCGATAGTCTCGGTGCGAGGCACTGACAGGGAGAGGCGGCGCTTGAAGTTCTTCATCTTGTTCATGGTCAGCAGGGGCCAGGCAGTGGGGCCTGAGGCGGGGGAGCAGAGAAGAGCAGGTGAGAACAAGGCGTCAGGCCAGCCCACGCTGGACGCGAGAATTCGAGGTCTTGGTCTCCGTCTGCCCATTGAGCTCTGGGGCCCTGCATTCGGGAGTTGGGGTTGCATCTTCCTCACCAAGGTTCAAGGACCTAGCCCTCCTCCTCCCTGTGGACCCCGTTCCCCCCGGACACTCCCCGCCAGCGCCCCTGGGAAGGTAGTCACACTATGTATTGGTCGGTACAGCAGAGTACTGCTCATAATGATGTGCCAGCAGGATCCTGAGGGCCTCACCAAAACTAGACAGTAACCTGTGAGCTGCTGGAGGTCTAGAGAGTTCTCAAAAGAGGCCTGGAGGGGCAGGGAGTGGACCAGAACTTGGGCCAATAGCTCTTTACTAACTTGTGTGTAAGAGCTTGAGTATGTCAACAGTCGGTAAGCCTTACTGATTGACGCCCGGAAGCTGAGCATCAGCGTGGCCTACAGCCTTTGACGTAATCTGGTCCAAACCCCACTTCAGCCTGATACTGACCCCTGGAGGTCCCTCTCTGGCTGGTCCTAGGTCCCTGGATGACGGGAAAAGAGAGGGGACAAAGGGAGGGGATGTGTGCCTCTGAGCTGGCCCAGCCCCAGCTCCAGCTGAAATATGGGAGGTCGGGAGCTCGTCTCAGGGGAAACACAGAAGTTTGCTGGAAAAAGAGGGCCCCAGGGACAGGAGGCCGAGCCCCTCTCACGCCAGAGCCCTGATGGGGCAGGGTGTCCAGTCGGCAGGGTACACAGTAAGGGAGAAGGGTGGGCTACTCTGGCCCCCTCAAGGCCCCTTCCCTAGCCAGAAGGGGCTCCGTCCCTGTGGCCCCCCAGCCCCCTTGCCCTCTGAGTGAGGGGATACCCTGCTGGCCACGCAGTTAGACTGCTTCTTCCCGCAGACCCTTCCTTCTGTATCTTGCCCTGAAAATCCACCTCCTTCCCCAATCACCCCCCAACCTCCCTCCATGATTTCGTAAGCTCTCCATGGCAGCCCCTCATCTTGCTCTGCCCATATCTCCCTGCTCCCAGGAGAGCAGAGACCAAGAGGCCTCACAAGTGCCCCACCGACGCCCGCCCAGAAGGCATCCAGGGCCAGCCCTGTGATGTGAGGGGGCCACCCTACACGCTCTCCCAGCTTTTACCCGAACCCCCGGCACAGCCCATTCCCAATCACTAGCCAGTATCCTGTTGCCAAAGGAGGGGGCCACCAGACCCCTCCTGAGTCCTCCCAGCTGAAGGGATTATGGGTCAGCGAACATGTTTGCTTTGCTTAAAGATCATCTTTCTGTCCTCAGCCAGCCTGGAAAGGGTCCCTTCCCTGGGCCTGCAGGCTCCTGGCTGCCCCCAAATGCAGCTGAGCTGGGGCCCTGCAGCAGCCCTGAGCCAGAGACTGGGGAAGGCCAGGCCCTCCTTCCTCAGGCCGGTGCCCCTCGGAGTAGAGGTCTCGGGTCTGCACTGCCAGCCGAACCCATCTCTGTCAGTGGGCCCCGGAGTGTCAGTTGAGCTCAGCAAGTGAGGACTAAGTAGCTACTGGGGCAAGCACTGTGCTAGGCACTCACAGTGGTGAGTGAAGTGCACTCCCTATTTTCCAGGAACTCAGGGGCTGGTGGTGCCTCCTTTGATGAGAAGGTATCAGAAGCTCTTCTTCCAGCTTCCTTGCTGGGCTTTCCCAGCAGCCTTTGACTTTCCTGATTCTCTATCCCTAAGCTCATTCCTGCCAGCCAGCCTCAGTGGCTCCTCCATGGCCTTTGTGGGGTCGGGCCTGATGTCTGTAGGACTCATAGACGTGAAGCTCGCAGAGGGCAGTCACCCCGCCTAACACTGTAGTGTGCACCCAGCCAGAGGCCAGAGGGCATCCCATAATGGAAGCTTCGTGACAGTGGCAGCACACGGGTTCCAGGGACAAGAGGACCTAGAGATGTCCTTACCTGTTCCTCACATCTCCCAGCATGACAAGAGAGTGAAGATGTCCCCACTGGACAGGTCAGTTGTTTACAAAGTTGGCTGAACATGCGTAGCACCAGGGAATATTTTTAAAAATTCAGATCCCTGGGTCTCATTCTCAGTTTCTGGAACTGAGGATGGTGACTGGGAAAACGAATTTTTAAAAAAAGCATCCCCAGTGATTTGGACCTGGAGCCACGGTGAGAAGCATCTGAGGTCTAGGTGAGGGAGGACAGTCCACCCAGGTTTCCAGATTGCCCTCCTGTGCTGAGAGGGGGAATCCTCCTAGCTGGGAAGATGCAGGAGGGGAGAAGACATGCTGAGCGGAGCAGAAGCTCCCCCATCCCCGCCCCCACCACTCAGAAGGGGAAGAAATGTCTGCCCTGCAGACTCATGGTCATGGTTCTCCTAAGGCTGGGGCGGGGGGGGGGGGGGGGGCGGCAGGGGAGCCAGGCACTTGGCTCCTTCGGGTCTGAGCTCTGCCAAGAGGGACTAGTCACGCCCCCTTCTAAAAACAGGGCTCCCCCATAAAGCCGTCCTGCAGTCTAGGATTTATGGGATGGCATGTTGGGTTTGTGTTCAGGAATCCACCAGTAGCTGCCATAAATCTTACATCCTTGCTCTTGCCTGTGGGGGAGGGGGGCCCATTAAAAGCCTTCTAGGAGGGAAGCCCCCAATTTCTGCAAAACAAAAGAGAACCAGCCCTGAGTGGCACCTGCTCCTGCTGTCCCCTTGGCTCCTCTTAGGAGCCAGAAGCCACCAGCCTGGGCCTAGTTTGAGATGGAGGGTGGGCTGGGGAGCTGGAAGGAGGCTGAAGCTGAGGACGGCTTCTCAAGCAGGAATGTAGGGCCAAGCGACGCGGAGGGATGGGGACCAGCTGTCCTCCACCCACTCAAGAAATCCAGAGGAAGTGGTTGTCCCTGTAGCAGGAGGGATGGAGGTCAGATGTAAGGATGGACTTTCTGATGGTGACAGAGGAGCAGGCGGCAGGGGTGGTGACCAGAGCAGAGAGTGGATGCCTCTCTCCGCTGGGGACAATCGGGGCATTGAACCCGCCAGGGTCTTGGGTGTGACAGGGCAGACTGAGTAGTGAATGGTCTCCGTTGTTCCCGAGCTCAAGACATAAGATGGCTCTGTCACTTTTCTCTTGAGAGAATCAGCTCTTCAGATTTGGGGGTCAAGGGAGAAGGGAGACAGGAAAAAGGCCTGTCACCTTGTTGCTGTCTGCCCCTCACCCCCATCTGGAGACAGAAGGGCTCAGTGTGACCCAGCCCGAGGCCAGCCCAAGGCTGGGCACAGTGTGGCCTTTGTCCCTGGGCCAGGGAGCCATCTGGGGCTGTCCCCGTGCAACTGGTGCCAGGGGAAGAAGGAGATGGGCATCCAGGGATACTGGCCTGGCCAGGCGGGGCTGGGGGATGCTGGAGGAGAGGGCTGCCCCTCAGGAGCCGGGGGTAGGTCCCCCACAGGCAGGCCTTCCCTCCTGCCGCCCCGGCCCCCGCCAGGTAGGCCCGAAGTTCTCAGCGCACCTCCTGCCTCTTCCTCCCGGGCACACACCCACAGCCCAGAACTTCCTGCTGGTGCCAGAGGAGCGGGCGGCACCGGCGGGAGGAGCCAGGCCAGGAGGAAGCTCACACTTGCCCAGAGGCCACTATGTGCCCAGTGGGGAAGGGCCGAACTTCTGGAATGTTAGCGGAGAAGCCCTTACAGACCCGCCCGCCAGCCCCCCGCTGCCCACGAGGACGCCGACGCCAACGAGGCTCGCATGAGACCACCTGAGCTGCTCAAACCGGCGCAGCAACTTCCTGGTCGTTACCAAGCGCCCGAGCTCCGTGACCGAACCATGGCTCCTGGCCTCTCCTACCGGCGCTCCCCCCCCCCCCGCCCTCCCTTTGGGCTTGGCTGTAACAGCCACTTCCAGTTCCAGGCCTTTCCCCCGAACCCCGAATAAAAAGCCAAATTCATATTCTGGTGCCACCATTAGCAGGGCCGGATGGTGACACTTAGGTCACACTTGGGTTATATAATGTCTCTTAGCTTCGGCTCGAATCCTTCACTTGACAATTATTTATTAACAGCTACACATGCCGGGCACTGCTGTGATCTCGAGTCCCTTCACAAGAGAAACAGACGTGGGCAGCCCCGGTGGCGCAGCGGTTTGGCGCCGCCTGCAGCCAGGGCGTGATCCTGGAGACCCGGGATCGAGTCCCGCGTCGGGCTCCCCACAGGGAGCCTGCTCTTCCCTCTGCCTGTGTCTCTGCCTCTCTCTCACTCTCTCTGTGTTAAATAAATAAATCTTTAAAAAAAGAAAAGAAAGAAACAGACATGATTTCTGCCCTCCTGGTACTTACATTTTAATGGTGGGGAGCAGCACAGACAAGAAAATAAATATATAAAATGCACGAGATGTTAGGTGGTGCCAAGTGCAATGGAGCAAAATAAAGTAGCAAAGAAAAATGTGGGGTGGGAAGGCAGGATGTTGCGATTATAAACAGAGTGGTCAGGGAGCGGACCACCTAAACAGGTGGACGGGAAAGTGACATTTCAGGAAGAATTCCAAGAAGGTGCAGGCAAGGGAGCTTGTCATGCGGAATGTAGGAGAAGCAGATCAGCGCAGGAACAGGAGGTGCAAAGGTCCTGAGGCGGAAGCGAGTTTGGAATGCTCTAGCAACAGCAGTGTGGCGGTGGAGGCAGCCATAGGGGAACCCAGAGGAGACTGTGTCAGCCCCTCACAGGGAACAGGAGGGTTTCAGCAGATGAGTCATGTGATCCCACTTAGATTTTAACAGGCTCCCTCCGGATATGGTGTTAAGAACAGACTGTATGGGCAAGCAAGGAAGCCTAGTCAGAAGGCTACTGTAGAGATCCAGGTGACAGATGGTGGTGGCCGAGACCGTGTGGGAGCAGTGGAGGTGGTTGGTTTCGGGATATATTTTGCAGGTGGAGAAGCCAAAGGGATTTGCAGATGGATTTGTATGTGGGGTGTCAGAAAGGAGTCAAGCCAGGCTCTGGGGCGCTTTGGCTG